CTTATAGTACACCCTACTTATTAAAAATAAAATAAGCTCACCTAATAACTAAGGGGCAAGCCAATTTAAAATATGATATCTTAATAGAGAAGTAAATAAATAAAATCTAAATCCGCGAAGAACAACAAGCCTAAGCCCATCCCATTCCCGTATTGATATACAAGCAATGACCGAGACTTCACTTTCTCTTTATTCTTAAATGTATGTTATTTTTGCTTAAGCAAATTGGCTAAGAATGCGACAACATATGTGACTTTGTAATCACTATGGAAGAAATCTGCCTTACACCGAGGCATTAATCAAAGCGAATGTGGTGGTTGGAATGGTCGATGCTAAGCTAATCCCATTTTTTCCGGAACCGGGACTAAAAAAAAAATACAAGAAGTAGACAAGAATCAAAAGGCTAAATGGATCCTACATCCATTGTATGCTGATGGAGAAGCCCTTTCTTACTTTGAGCTAGTTTTTTCAGCTTTTTTTTTTCCCTTTATGTTACGCTTAATTCGACTAATTTTTGCTTGTTTGTTTAACAACATGTATTCGAAGTCTATGGTAAATAAGGTTGGAAAGTACGGTGGATATTATTCAAAATTATAGCATGAATATGATGTGGTCACAATTTTTTTTTCTTCTTCTCCTGTGTTGGTTAAGGAAGAAACCTTCGATCATCATTTCTAACGAACTTGGGGCAAATCAACCGCATCACATCTATCAACATCTCCAAATTCCTTAACTCAAATTCATGTTCTCAACAATGTTTCTTACAAATTAACCATATGTTAGCATAGGTTGAAAAATTTTAACCGGATGATAACCAAAGGCTTTTTTATCACTACAAGAAAATATTATTTTTGTAACGAGATTTTTTCGTCTTTAAATCCACTTTTTCTGTTACTAATGATATTAGAGACATAATTAATGATGAAATTACGTTAGCTACGTGATCTTTAGGGATGAAATTCCGTTACAAATATAATATTTTTTTGTAGTGTATGGAGATTTAGAGTGATAAAATTCTTAATTCATACCAAACGCAGTATCCAAATGTTTGATAGTACAAAAATTAGGAAATAAGAAGGAATACAGAAAAATTAAATAAATTACGGAAATAAAAATAAATAATAACTTTGATTGAGATATTGAAATATGTTTTTACAACAATTACATCAAGTCTATTTGTAGAATCTAAACGGTGTCTGCGAATGGACACAACATTTCTAATCTACTAACAACGTGAAAGGATGCAACCTTTTGGAATAGAAACAGTAATTTATGGGAATTAAAGCTAATTAATCTATTTATTTCTAACTTTAAATATATCTAATATTTAAATTTTATCCAAATACCCAATTTAGATAATCATCAATCTTGGTAACAAGTTTTGATATCTTGTCAACCAAATTTCAAGATTCTAATAATCAAGATTTTAAATCTCTAAAATCGAGATTCAGCTGTATTATCCGCAGACGAAAATAAAACTACGATTTATAATTTGACAAACCATTGGATAGACTCGAGTGGTTGTCGACCAAATAAATTAGTGGGGCACAGATTTGTAAACTTAAGTGCAGTTCTATAAACTAGAGAGGTTTGGACCCGTAAACTTGAGAGGTACGGTTCTGAAAATTTTAAGAGGTATGGTTTCTAAACATTGAGAGGTTTTTTAAACAATTAGATGGAGCAGCCGACCTAATTTGGTACAAAACCATCGTATATGTATGCATAAATCTTGGTCCCGGTACGTCCAAATATTTAGTCTAATTTGATGCAAAACTGTCGTATATGTATGCGTAAATTTTGGTCCTTGTACGTCCAAATATCTTTTACCTTGCCATATCTATCAATCCTGAGTCTGACGTTCAATCTAAACTATACCTGATGCATCAGTCTAAAATACATCCGACATATCCGGGCACCTTTACTTCCGAAATTTTGAGGCGCCTTTAGATCTAACAATCTGGGCTAACCTTTATCTTTAAGAATCCGGGCGCGCCCTATCTTGAAAACCCAGAACGTCATTTTCATGTTTAACACATTTGGGCGTAAAGCATCTTGACTGTTTAATGCGTTCGAACGATTAATTTTAGGTGGTAAAGTAATGCAAGAAGGGACCTAATGTAACATAATGCTATCTTTGGCTCAAATATGATGTTTAGTTGATATGCTTGAACACTAGAAGCGCCAAGGATCACGTAGCATATTACTTGATTTTATGCAGAGTGATGCAATTTTGACAATATCCTCAAGGAAGGATTCCAACAAAATTTGTTCCCAGTTTAATTTCAACAGAAAAAATGAAGGCGGTGAAAATGTCGCAAAAACGTTCTTCTCGAGGGATCGGATATGATATTTCTGAATTATGATATTATGTGCTACTCTTAATTGTTTACATTGGCTGCCTACATCATTAGTTTAGATGAATTTAATTTTGGTGCTGATCAAACCATTTTAAGATGGTACTATCGGCCTATGTCATTTATGTAGCAATTCAACTATTTGTTCTTACGATAGAATTGATTCAATTATATATGTGACGTAATATAGGAAAATAGATTTTCAGTTCAGACCACTATAGGTAAATGTTTGAATTTCATAGCTCAATAGTATAGTAGAACAATTTATTTCAATCAATGGGCACTGGTGATCGAAACCCATATCGATCACCTTGCCCTTATTAGTTTTTTTTTTTTTTTTTTGGCAACTCGATCAAATCATTGCCCTTATTATATAGGATTACATTTATAATATGCATTGTATTCTTTAGAAGCTCCCGGAAAAATGGACTTTCTTTAAAGTCCCTCGAAGCTGCATTGTATTCTTGCCAGCCACTATCTAATGGACTTTCTTTAAAGTCCCTCGAAGCTGCTTTGTATTCTTTAGAAGCTCCCGGAAAAATGGAAACATATATATATATATATATATATGCATCATCAATGAATATGTTAATAATTATGGAGTCAGAAAGTGAAAGCAGGCTTGGGAAATTCAAGCATTTGGTCTCTCAGCATGCCAAAGAGATTGGTAAGAAGGATTAAGGTATAATTCTTACCAAAACTTTTAGCATAAACAAGATCTAGAAGAAATCTGTTTACACAGCCACTTTTGCATTATTCATCAAAGGTAATCTTATTGTTGGATTTTATAGTCCAAATGGATCCACCTCAATTAGACACACACACCAAAAATCGCAGCCCAAGTCGAGCCTTGGCCGTGGCCCATGATCCACAATACAGCCCTGACCTGTGTCAATATCTCACCCTTGCCCTGACCCATGGTTGCTTACCCGACCCGCTCCAGGATCCGTGTCTTTTTATGAGACTTTGTCTGAGCCGTCCGATTAAGGGACTGCATCCTGGCCCTTGATCGTTCTAACCCTACTATAATATATGGCTGGGAGAGAGGTGCCGTCATTATTCCCATTCTCACTCTCTCACTCTATTTTCTCTCACTCTAAATCAACCTCCGGCAGCCTCCAGTAACCTTCAAATGAGCCATTTTCTCCTGTTTTGTGAAGAATATGTGGTGCTTTCCGTTTCCATTTCTCATTTCAAATTGCAAGGGGTTCAATTTGAGATTTTGCTTTTGATTTGTATGGTTCTCTCTTTTTCAGCTACTATTTAGCAGTGTGCTTTGTTTTCGTTTGTGTTTTGTAGGTTACAGGCACGATTTGGGTGTGTATTTGTGTTCATTTTGTGTTTTCGAGTGATTTGAGGCTGAGCCTACCAACCAAAACTAGTTCAATGTTTTTCGTTTTTCATTAATAAAATCTCAATATGTTATTATTTTTTAATAACAAGCGGTATCAAAGCTTTTGGTGAGGTTTTTGTTTTCAAAATCGTGTTTTATTTTCGGTTTTGTAAAGTTTTTGGGTTGACATCATTTAGATCTAAAATAATCTAATTGAATCAGACTTGTTTTATTTTTTTTGATTCTTTTCCTTTTAGATCCGTGCTAAAACCAGCCATATCTCACTCGATTTTTGCTATTTAGCCTCGTTCAAATGTTATTTTTTAGATTTAGATTTAATCTCTACAGATCTGTGTAGTTTGGTTAAGTTTAAGTCTATTTTTGGTTAGTTTGTTACAAAATCATTTCTATTTTTGATAAACTGGTTTTGTTTTTAAACTTTCCTTAATAAGGAGTAAACTGGGTTAGTTGCCTGTGTTTTGATAATCTCAATTGACACATTTCTATTTTTGGTAAAAATTATTAAACCAAAACATATTTAACAAATATAAATCAACTTAATTAACAACATAACATACAACATCATAAATGATGTAGGACCCACTCAAAACCCCTTTATTTCTACCCCTCTTCAAAAAAATAAATATTTTTATCTATATTTAAAAACTACACATCTTTTATAAATTAATTTATGTTAATTATAAATAAACAAAAACATTTTTTTATTTACTTGTATTATGGAAGATTTTATTCTCTACAAAATGATATCCATATTGCATATGTTTTTTTAATTGCTATATAATTTTTAAATATTTAAACATATATTAAAATTTTTTTAATCATATATATTAAATTTATTTTTAAACTATAAATATTATTAATTATACAAAAAATAATATAATAATATCATAACTAATTATTATTAACTAATTAAACATCCTTACATTAAATACCGTGTCCCTACTCAAAGAGTTCAATTCCGGTGGGACGCACTACTAAAAAATTGCTCTTTTGTAGCACTTCTATTGTCCGCAACAATAACTCTGTAATAAAAAGTACTTTTAGTTACCAAAAATATTGTAATAAAAAATATTATTTTTAGTCAATTTTTATTTTTTATTTGTTTCAATAATTCAACCGTAACAATCACAATGATAACGAAATATCGTTGTAAATACATTTGTTACGTCTATAAACCGTAACTAAATGATAATTATGATAATTATAAATTTAAATTTAAAAAAATTAATAAAATTATTTTTAAAAAAAAATTAAAAATAAAAAATTAAAAGTATTTTACAGTTACGGTTTTAGCCAAAATTGAATCGATCTCAATTTCTCTCGTCTAACTCTCCTTCTATTATCGAACCCTCATCGAAGCAAGCACCGCCGGAGACGGCGGTGAACTTCCGTTCACCAGATCCGGTCCACTACCACTCCCCACATCCTATTCTAGCCCCCGCTTCTATCTCTTGCCTCATTATCTATCTCGTGTCTATATGGTAGGTCGAGTCCATTTAGTTACCATCGCAAGCTTGTGGTCGTTCTCTGACCATTTTCTACAGGTAATGGCATCCCATCGCCGGCCCCCTAGGTTTGCCATCAGCCATTGCTTAGATTAAACTATTCCCCGCTCAATCTCAGGTTGTCCCCATTGTTCTCCCTGTTTCATGGTTATCTCTCTTCTTCATGGTTTCTCGATGTGGGGATAGAGATGGATCAATTTTGGTAACATGTGGCTTATGTTTTTCTGCGTTCTTGCTTGATTATTGTGGATTCTTCATTGTTTGATTGTGGCTCGGTGTGATTTCAATTTCTGCTCTATTTGGTGGCGTTTTGTTTCGATGCTTCTGTGTTGGTGTTGTAGTTGGTGGTTTGTCATTATAGAAAGAGGTGTTCTCAGCCATTGATGAATCATAAGGTTCACCTCGACCAAGCTTTGCAAATTTGTTCTAACCTCCACCACGCACACAAGCAGTTCAACTAGTTGCATGTTTGAAATCGTGTGTTTGTTTCGCTATTTTGTGGTTAGAAGAATGCTACAAAACTGTGTTTTGTTAATTGAGGTTAATAAATGGATGAATAAGATGAAGAGGATGATAACACTCTTGATTTTGAAAGATAAATGAGTTTGTGAATTAACATATTTGGTTTTTTATTGTTGTTTAATCAATCTATCTATAAATCTAGGTCTTGAATATGTAGTTCAATGCTCTCAATGTACTATACACTATAGTGTGAGTGAAAGAAATCTAGATAAAGCGAAGAGTTTACTTGCAGTGTTTATTTAGCACTAAAGTAAAACTATTGGGCATCAATTTTGAAATAAAAATTGTCTTTCTTTTAATTTGATTTTCTAAATCTTGATGGAGGTTAGAGATTAAAACATAAGATTGGAAAGAAGAATTAATGTTTTATGGGGGGGCATTTTTTAGAATTATGTTGCTGCTGGTAAGTGAAGGTTATTCATATTTGTGTAATTGTGTTATTACGGTATATAGTTGGAGGAAATGAAGTAGTTGTTGTTCCTTGCTCGCTAATATCAACATCGTGTGCAACCTTACTCAACCTCTCTATTTTCTTAACAATCATGGCCATGATAGATGATCATAAGTTCATCAGCTTACCTCTGATCCAAAAACTGAATTATTTAGCACACAATTAGAGGTATACGGTGTATGTATATACATATACATATGTAATGGGTTTCTATGTACGTATGTATTTGTATTCATTAAAATGGTAGCATATATAGCGATCTATATCTATGTAACTAGCAACGATATTTATTGGATTATGAATGAGCTTCATGGAAATCATCACTTCCTCTTGTATCAATGAAGATATCATTTTGAAACTTTCTTTTCATGTTCTAAAATAAGCTTTTCTTTCTGATGTCCCACTATGTCATAATGTTCATAAGCTTATACTTTTGTCTGATTGTTAGATTTTGTTCTTTTTTAACAACCAATCACTGCGTTTCTGTGAGCCCTATGTTTTATTAATTGAAAAACCTTGGGCAATGTTCTGGCAACTTCTCTGTATTTGATTGATTATTGTATCTTATGTGGTTAGATTATTCCTTTGATGAATGTGGTACTCCATCCTCCGATAGCATGATGGCAGTTGGTTTCGTCCTCCGTATATTTATACTTTTGGCTTACATCCTTACCATTTTGTCCCCCATGTTTTACTATCAATTGAATCGTAAGTTCACGCACCATCATGATTATTGTTGTTTATTATTTGACCATGTTTGCTTGTTTGAACTAGTTTATGTAGGCAACCAATACTTATAGTAGTCTTTGTTTTGATCACTTGTTCATCATATCAAGCCTTACAAATCTTTAGTTTATTATAAGATAGATGTTGGGTTTACTTTTTGTGTAGAATTTGCTTATGCCTGGTATCAAACTTACATTTCAAATAGTTTGCAATGGAACAATTGTAAGGACAAAGATATTAAGGGTTTATATTTGTTCTCCCACAATCTGGAAAACTTGCCATTACGAATGGCCATAGGAATTTAGTCATACTACCTTCAAGAGATTTCCCTACATGGAAAATATCTAAACCAATTACGTATATACATACAGTTGTACATATAAGCATTGCAATAAAGTTATACATATATATGTAAATACTTCACTCTATTCCTGTTGAATCATGTTCCCCTCTCTCTTTTCCTTTTTCAGACTTGTGAGTTGAGGGGCAAAAGAGAAAGGAGAAAGACAAGTTGTATGCGACTGCTACCATAACATACCAATTTAGGTAATCCGACAGGTACTTCTTAAGAATATTTCTTTTTTTTTAGAGGCAAGAGTGCAGAGAAGAATTCCAAGTGGTGATTAGTTTCTTCTTTTTATTGTTATACACAAAAGTGATATAAATATTATCAATATTTATCTATATATCCAATGTCAAAGCTAGGTTGGGGTTGAACTAACTTATTGAATCGAATTATTATCCAACCGCCAGTCTTGGTCCTATCAACAAGAAAACCTTTGTAATCCACAACAACTGCCACTATCAAACTTATCTATGCCGCACCATCTGCAGCCTGCAATATTTATACATAGATTGTTAGATAAGGTTGTCCTAATGAATAAGCTATTTCAAGAATATATATTATGATGATGGTGTATTTAAAGGGTTAGTTAACTACTAACCATAGAGGTAGGTTTTCTGCTTCTTGCTTGCTTTGTTGTGTGCAATAGATTTTGGTTTATTTGGGTTAGGCTCAGTTAACTTAAGTGGGAAAGAGATGATGAAGAAGAGAGAAGATGGAGCAGTTTTAGTTGCACGCTGGTTCAGTAAATATTATTGTTGGAGGCTGTTCTCTACTTGATTATATTATATTAATATAGTTGTAATTATGTAAATACTAGATTGTTAATTGCGTCTAGTTAGTCTACATTAGCATGTTGTCATTAATTGTTAAATTGCAATTTTTATTACTGCAATATTGATTATGTTTGTTATTGTTGTTTGTTTAAATTATATTAGGATAAGTACTCATTGATTAATTATTTTGCTAGATAGATTAGTCTTGTTTTTATTTATATTAGTATAGGGGCTGTTCGTGGATATTGATTTTATTATTTTGCGTAACTTAATAGTGGTAAGTAGTTGGATGGCACATATTGGGATTGAGATTGGTATTGGATGGCATCGGAAAATTTGTTGGCATCTGCTGATATTGTTGTAGGAACTTTTATTCGGGTATCAAGTAGTTGTATGGTCGAATTTTCTATGTAGAGCTTGATTGGTGGTTATTTGTTGCCACAGGAGATGTTATCTTATTTTTCTTGCTGAAGGATTTTCCCCGTATTGTATAATTTTAGTTGTATGGACTGATACGAATTATGATTGTAGTGGTTTATAAATGTTGTTTTATCAGTGTTGGGAGAGTTGTTTCGTAGTTTATTGTTGTGTGGTTTATCTTCCTAATGTTTGGTGGTCAGTCTTTTTGGCTAATGCTTTCGGTTGTAGACATTGCTATGTTCATATTTAAGATAGTGTCCATAGATCAAACTAAAGGATAACTTTTATTTTATTATGAAGTTTCCATTGCTATCATTACTTGATGTATTTATATCTTTTATTATATTCATTCATGTTGCTTAGAGATATCATATTTCCTAATATTAGCTTTGGTTTTATATTTTTATATAGGTGATACCCTAGCTATTGTCAAGGCATTTGTTACCGCTGTTAGAGTCCTGGTGACTGTACTTATTCTCCCAAGTAATGCCGGAGTGAAATGCTCAATGAGGTACTCGACGAAGAAAACATCAAGTGGACTTACAAGGTTGTACAATTTCTTTAAAAATGTTTATTCTTTTGGGAATTAAATTACTTTAGATGATGATATAATTCTTATATATCATTGGAAACACATTGCAGTTGGTTGACCGCCTCTGATTGCTTTATTTGTGATTTTGCACTCGATGAGCTTGGTCGTTCATAGTTGTATTTGTTAGTCGACCTTAGGATTGTGCAATTTGATACCATATTTATTTATTTCACGTATTACCTTTGAATTTGGGGATCAAGTGTTAGCAAGTTGTTTGGTTGTTATGGTGTATGGCATGGTGACTTTTGAAGATGTTTTAAAGTACGGTTAACATCTAGTATTCTATTTTTGACATGAACATAAATGTTATTGGATTGATGTCATTGTGCATATATGAACAAGGATTTCAGATTAATTACGATAATATTATGTTCTAAATTATTTGTGATGCAAATTGATCAATAAAAAATTTAACAATTGGATTTTATTCGTGGCGACAAAATCCTTAGACAGACACCTTTTGTAGCGGATTTTTTATTACGGACAATGGCTGGTACAAAAAGTGTTGTACGTTTACATTAAATTTCTACCGAATTTTTCGTTGCGGAAAATTTTTGCAACAAACAGTTCTCTGACAAGACACTACTTTTGTAACGCAATTTTTTGTTACAGACGAAATTGCAACAAAAAGTTTTGCTAGCAAGATTCCATATTTGTACCACATTTTTCGTTTAAAAAATATGTCCTAACAAATAGTTCTCTGACAGGATTTAACTTTTGCTCCAAATATTTTGTTACGGGCATATGTTGTTCTAAAAACATGATCGATGTTTTTTTTACGTACAAAAACATATGTTGTTCCAAAAACATGATCGATGGTTTGTATTTTCTCATATTGTTTTGTAGAAAAATATTTTGTTGTTGTGCTACGAGAGTAAACCCTAAACTCACTATTATATTACCTTTTTTTTATGATTGGTTTAAATTTATGTATTTAATTTTCTCGTCTAAAAATTGTAAAAATTATTGTAAAACCAAAATTACTAAACTCCGACCCTCAAAACCGTGAGTGATTTTTCGAGTAATTTCTATTGAATAGTTACGAATGCATGTTATAATAGTTAGGTGATCTATTGTTGTGATTTAATTACCTACCGTGATTATCTATTTTGTGTGATAATGTTGCTCTATTTTTGTTCATGTGAATTGCATGCCAAATTGTCTCTGTTTTTTGTGAAAGTTAATCTGAGATTGAAAACAGAATATTGTTTTTAAAATTAAAATATTTTTTCAAAAATAATAAAATGGCTAGTCAGTCTGTCTATAACATTCAACCTTTTGATGAAAAATATATTTTTCTATTTAGAAACAAAAAATGAGAAGTATTTTAGTTACTGTCTATAATATTATGACAAACCTAAAAAACCATGAACTCTCTGTGTCAAAGTGGAAGTAGGCCATGTATGAACCGCACGCACCTTTTCAAGTCCATAGCAACCCCCAGAATAGAAATGACATGGATTAAATGCTCTACCTCCACACATCCAAAAGAACACTTTATCTTGTTCTTCGTGAACTAATTCGCGTAGGTACATTCGGAATAGATCATTCATCGTAGACTTAAATGTCTCTAGTGCATTAGTGAGCCCATAAGGCATTACCAAAAATATCCGTTATGTATGTGAAATACCATCTTAGGCCCATCTTTCTTTCGAACTCGAATTTCATGGTACTCAGAATATATATTTATCTTTGTAAAGACCATTGATCCAACTAGCTCATATAACATTTCTTGAATTTCTAGATTTGTATATTTATCGAGCATGACCACCTTGTTCATCTTATAATAATCAATACAAAATCTCCAACTTTCGTATTTCTTCTTTACCAATAGCACCAGGCACGAGAATGGGTTTGAACTCGGCCAAATGATCCATTCTGTTAACATATCATGCGTTCAATCTCATTTTTTTGCAAGTGACTACAACGATAAGGCTGCATGAACACTAGGCTAAAACTTGGTTGGAGTTCTATATGATGATCATTACCGCATATTGGGGGCAATCTTCTTGACTTATATATGTCTGCATATTGTTCTGATACTTTCTAAAGATCCCCTCGGCCTGCATTGTTGGCCAATATTGCTGACATGGCTCCTCAGGTCTCTATACATCTCGCTAGTTCCACCACTAAAGCCCAAATTTTGCTTCCGTTGTTTTCAAAAAGGTTCGAAGTGCCACCAATGAGCGAAATACGGTTGGGTCTCCGTGAAGGATCGCAAATTCTTTTTATTGGTTATATGTCATTATCATAGCTTCCTATTTGACTCATATGCTGCCCAACATCAGCAACAACACAACTCCTACTATAACATCCATACTACCAAACGGAAATACGAAATAATCAGCCACATTGTCTACCTTTCCAACCGCCAACTGCACGGTCTTACAGATTTCAGTACATGGCAGTCGTCTCTTATCCCCGAGCATCATTCTAAACAATCCAACATGTTGTATGAAAATGATAATCTCTCCATCAATTCTTTCTACATGAAATTATGACTCGCACAACCAGTAAAAAGTATCGCCACCTCTATTACATTGAGCATTCCATAAACCCTAATAGTTTGTGTGCCCGTGAAGTCTGCTAGTGGATACAAGGGACACATCCACTATGTTCCCCTTTTGTCTCCCTAACTCTATTTCTGACGATTTGTTATCTCTATCATCCACTTGTTCTACCCCGGGGTCCCACGACTTCCATTCGCCAATGATTAGTGTACCCATTGGGCACATATGAATCGGGCTGCAGGGATGTTTGCATCAATCACACCATAATGAATTCTTGTGCTTGGATAGAAAGTAGAGAAACCAATTCAATGTCATTTCTTCCATGGACACCCTTGTTACCAATACTCGACGATTCCCTATGATATTGTGTAGTCAAAATTGATAATCTGCCTTTCCGATCCAGTTGATTGTATTAGCACCATTAAGTATTGGCAACGTTATGTTTGAAATCGCTAGCGGGTTTGCGATGGCTAGCAGTTGGCCCCCTATTGGTAGCGTGCTTAGGTTTGTGTCTATTAATCACAACCGATGATTATGTGGGGTCATTGGCCACAATTGTAGGACGGTTAGTGCCACCCTTCAAAGTTGTCATCAATTCGTGAAATTATTCAGTTACATGGTTCTGTATAGCTCCGATCTGAGTTTGCATCTGGGTCTGCATTGTTGATAAAGTATACATTGTTATGTATTTTTGTAGGAAAATTATAAATAAAAATTAACATATTGGATAAGATTTCTACTAATTTTTGTATAATCGTGATTAGTGGCAGGATGGAGTGATGTGCGCCCTTGCCAAATTTTTGGGTCAACGATTGAGTGAATTTTGGACTCAAAAATGGAAACGAGCTATCAAAGAGTAATAGATAAGTGATTAAAGAGCTAATTGAAAGTTTGATCGTCTATAAAAGGGGGGTACACTCACATTTCATAGACTAAGTTAGAGGATTGGGAGAGGCGTTAGGAGAGAAATAACCACTGGAATATCATCATCATCTCTATTTTATTGCATTCATTTATTTTGAGCATGAGTAGCTAGTTTATCTTATTCTAGTCCAATGGTTAATATAGATTTTGGATTCGGATTCGTGAGATTATGTTTTTAGTTAAATTGAATCTTTTTTTATTAAATTGGTATTTGTACAATTTCTGTGATTCATGTTTACAATCGTTCTATATAATCTTTTATTGCAACCGGATTTTAGATTGGTTTAATAATTGTGTGCCAATTGCATCTGTAATTGGGCACTTGTTTGATAAAGTGGTAAATAGGTTGACAAGCCTAGAGTAAGAAATGCATGATCAAATAATTTAATCTTTTCATAATTGTTTGAATATTTGAATTGGGTTTTTCTCGTGCTATTTTTAATTGGAAAAATTAATTTATGGTCATACATAGAATATTTCTTTGATTAGGGATGCAGTCAATTGGTCGTACCATTTTTGCCAATAAAGTAATGAAAAATTGGACGTATAATCGTATCTAATGCCTATAACCAATTTATCAATTAAATAACAAGGTTATTAAAAATCGATGCTTGAATCTTTAATCCGGTTTCTTATTCACTCATTGGGCTAGAAATTTAATCTCTTTGGAATCTAATTTTTATTTTTCGTCGCTTATTTTAATTATCTTAATTGAATTTGCTAATCTCTCTCCTCCCAATACTTGAAATTCTGACAACACATGAATTAAACCTCACAATCCATGTGGATCAACCTCGGCACCACTTGCTATGCGGAAATTGTGGTGTTAGAGTATTTTTATTGGAAGCACCAAGGCTACCAATTGTCTTAACTATATCCACATGTTGTCGCGTCTCTGCATGAGCTATAGCCAAGGCAGTTAAGTTATCTTCTATCGCGTTGAGACACCTATTCATATCTCCAGAGTGTGTCTTCATCCTCCATTCTGAGATCCGGCAAGTCGGACCAATTGAGACATAATAAAATATGAATCTTTATTGAATAGAGAAAATAACAAACAACATAATATCTTCGGTTCCAACCCAAAATGTCTTCCGTGCCAACCAAAAGGTTTATTCCCAAAAACCATAGACGATCCCTAAGATTTGTGAATATAACCTATTGGCCCTATTGGCCCAATAATCTTATTAATAGACCCAACAATAGAATTAAATATAAAATCCAAAATATTCAAATAATTAAAGTCCTGCCAAATAATTATAAAGTGCTGCAATCAACCTAAAGTGGGATTGCTTCCCTTCGGACCAGCCGTGAGTAAACTATTGGCGGTTGATTCTCCCGATGTTGCCAAGATTCGTCAATATCACAAGCATATAGCCAGAATAAGAAATGAAGTGGCAACAAAAGTTGAAACCAAATATATACTTATTTCATACTTTGAATCGGGAAATAAAAAATCTCCTAAATTTGAGCCAAAGGAACTACAAAATTTAAATATTTTAGTAGGCATAGAATTTTGAAATATTTTATATTCAATTGTTGTCATAACTAGATAATTATTTTGAATAAAACCTACATTTCTCGATAGAAGTCTGATGATGGCTGCAAAATGATAACAAGAAGTTGCAACAACCTTCACAGCCAATGTGTGTCGTGCCTCTAAATATATATATTTGGATTTCACTCTTTGTTGGCTAAACAAGAGTGCATTACCTTTACTTACAATATAGAATTCAATAATATATACAAGGAGCAAGAAATTCTAATTCAATAGATTAATAATAAATATTTTACTCTTACTTGCATAAAGAAGACGTTGACGGAATA